AAACTTGGTATCAGAGCCTAAGGTTTTAAAGTGTCCTAGGATGTCTCGGAGCCGTGTCTAGCAGAGTCCTTATTATCGGTGTGTTGTCGACCACATCTATAATTAGGATGCTGCATGGGCATTTAGGAATAATACCCTTCTTTCATGTTCTTGATCGTGCGATAAAGCTGGTTGTAAGATTGTTCCTCCTTTAACTCCTGCGTTGCTCTAATTTTTAGTACATAGCACCTAAGAAGAAGGCAAGAACTAGCCAAAGAGCCAATGTCACCCCAGGAGTGAGAATATTCCTCCAGTTACTACACTGCTTGACTCTGCTACAACTGATCAAACCGCACCTGTCCCTATAGCTACAGAAGGTGCAACAGTTCCTCCAACTGATATTCCAGTTCCACCTCCAGCTCCAGCTTCTAATTCTGGTGTGTCTGATATTGATATTTGGGGATCCATACAAATGTTGACACAGTTAGTAGCTTCTCAGGCCCAGAGATCGTGTGTTGGGCCTACTTCTTCTAGTCATCCAAGGGAATTTGCTAATTCCAGGGTGAACAAGTTTCTTCAGTCAGATCCTCTAGTGTTTACGGGTGCTGATCCCGAGGAGGACCCCAGGACTTCATTGATGAGATGCACAAAACTCTCTGGGTTATGCATGCTACAGAGACGGAGGGAGTAGAATTGGCCTTCTACCGCCTGAAAGGGGTGGCCTACTCTCGGTTTGAGTTGTGGGAGGAATCCCGTGAGGAGGGAAGCCCTCTGGCAAGGTGGGGTGAGTTCACAGATGCCTTTATAGATCATTTCTTGTCTCCAGAAACTAAGGCAGCTCGTGCCGTTGAGTTTGAAAGCCTGAAGCAGGGTAGTATGAATGTGTGGGAGCACCATATAGAGTTTGCGTGCCTGTCCAAGTATGCTATTCATATGTTGCCCACTATGGAGGCTAGAGTGCGCCGGTTTGTATAGGGCCTTAGCCCCTTGGTTATCAATGATGCCTCTACAGCTGCCTTGAATTCCGATATGAACTATGGTAAGATGATGGCATTTGCTCAAGCCATAGAGACCCGTAAATTGAAGAATAGAATGGAGCGTTAGAGTAGCAGCAATGCCCGATCTGCGGGCAACTTAGGTAGTTCTTCCGGTGGTGGTGGTGGTAGGTAGGCATTCAGGGAAGCATCATCAGGACCATCCCAATCATTTGCCCAGTCTTCGATGGGTGCACAGTCATCTGGACCCAGTCAGGGCAACAGGGGACCCCACCAGTAGGGTCGGCCCGACAGAAGGTTTCAGCAGTGGAGGCTTCCATGCCCTAAGTATAGGAGGATGAACTTTGGGTCCTGCTTCATGGACCTACCAGTATGCTACGGGTGTGGTGTGAGGGGTCACATTCAGAGAGATTGCTGCTCATTCTGCCAAAATATGGGCAGAGGTGCGGCACAGCCAGCTAATTCTGCAGCTACTACATCCACAGCACCTCCAGCTGGAGGTACCCCAGCGCCCGCGGGGCGTGGTGCAGCTAGGGGTGGTGCATAGAATTCGGGAGAACCCAGCAGATTTTATGCTATGCGGAGACATCTGGAATCAGAGGCTTCTCCAGATGTTGTCACTCGTATATTGACTGTCCAATCTCATGATGTATATGCTCTTATTGATACCCATTCCACTTTGTCATATGTCACTCCTTATGTTGCTATGGAATTTGGGATAGAACCAGAACAACTTTATGAGCCGTTCTCTGTATCTACTCCGGTTGGTGAGTCTATTTTGGTCGTGCGGGTTTATTTGGATTTTGTTGTCATGTTGCGTGGTCGAGACACCGTGGCCGATCTTATTGAATTGAGAATGGTCCATTTTGATGTGATAATGAGGATGGATTGGATTTACTCTTGTTTTTCCAAGCTTGATTGCCGAACCAGAACTGTTAGGTTCGAACTTCCAAATGAGCCAGTTATTGAGTGGAAAGGTGATGATGTAGTGCCGAAGGGTAGGTTTATTTCTTACCTTAAGGCCACAAAGATGATCAACAAAGGATGTATTTACCATTTGGTCCGGGTTGCGGACACCGATGCTCAGGCGCCTACACTTGAGTCTGT